CCCCTCATCAAGATCGTTGATGAATATGTTGTACAGGAGCGGTCCCAGCACCGAGCTCTGAGGGACACCACTCGTGACCTGCCGCCAACTGGATTTAACTCCATTGACCACAACTCTTTGGGCCCGGCCATCCAGCCAGTGTTTCACCCAGCAGAGTACGTGCCCATCCAAGCCATGGGCAGCCAGCTTAGCCATAAGGCTGTTGTGAGGGACGGTGGCAAAGGCCTCACTGAAGTCCAGGTAAACTACATCGACAGCCTTTCCCTCATCCACTAAGCAGGTCACCCTGTTATAGAATGAGATTAGATTGGTCAAGCAGGATCTGCCCTTCCTGAATCCATGCTGACTGGGCCTGATCTCCCTGTTGGTTTTCAATTGTTCTGTGATGGCTCTTGAGATTATTTGTTCCATCACCTGTCAAGGTCCCTCTGGATGGCATCTCTTCCCTCAAGTGAGGCCACGGCACCACCCAGCTTGGTGTCGTCGGCAAACTTACTGAGGGTGCACTCAGTGCCGTCATTCATGTTGCTGACAAAGATATTAAACAGCCCTGGACCCAGAACAGACCCCTGAGGAACTCCGCTTGTCACTGGTCTCCATGTGGACATCGATACATGCACTTAACCTTCTTTAGAAATCTTCAAATTAATAGCTCGAGTGACTAAACTTATGCAAGCGTGAAAATGCTTACATTTAGAATTTACATGTAGAATTCAGACTTGAAACAATAAAATAAGAAGCCTTGAGGTTTAGTATGTTTTGGTTTGTGCTTTAGTTTTTGTACATTTTAGACTACCTACCTGGTGCAAAATTCTTCTGTGCACATGAGCAGTCCATTTTGTAGATCAGTTTTTTATGAATACGAACTTGTTATCTTTCTCTATTCTCTAGAAATGTACTTAACCAGGCCATGGTGACAACTATTGATTGGTATTTATAGCTTGCTTTGTATTGCTCTCTACTCAGAGGACTAATCTCTTAGACATTTCATTCCAGTACCTCAGATTAATTTTCCACAAATTAACTGGAAACGAATTCTAGTACGGACATTCTTACATTGCAGGAAGTATCCCAGCTAAGATAAAGGTGTTGTTAAAGATGTTGTATAGATAGGAGAAAGGGCAAGGGACAGTCGTCTTTTTAGAAGTCAGCAAAAGATAGCTGCAGGAGAAAAATATACTGCAATGAAGTCAGAAAAATAACCATCCACTTACTGTTCCTTTAATAAATCTAAATAGCTTAATGGAATTTGAATGTGACTTATCATTTTTAACATCTCTTAATTCTAGTTTTCTGGGTAACTGCAAGAGAGTTTTACTGATTACTTTGTATGGTCAGTCCTGAAGTGACTGCTTTTTATTATTCCCTTTGCTGTTAGTTACCCATGTTTTATATTTCCTTCTGGGTCTCTAGACATTCTTCACATTCTAGCCTTGTTTCTTCCCATAGATACTAAAGAACAGTTTGATTCTTCTACCTTTACTCTTGCTCAGTGTCATTTATTCTATATTGTTTTGTGATAAAGAGAACTGCAGAACACAAAGGCAAGAACAGTAAAAATCTTAGCTAATGAACTAGCTTGGGTTGTTGGGCATTGGAACGGGCTGCCCAGGGAGGTGGTTGAGTCACCCTCCCTGGAGGCATTTAAAAGATGAGTAGATGTGCTGAGGGACATGGTTTAGTGGTGTTGATAGGGCTAGGACAAAGGTTGGACTCAATCTTGAAGGTCCCTTCCAACCAAAACTGTTGTATGAAACTGCTCTAAGAAGAATACCATAACCTTTAAGCATTTTGATATTCCACATTAGTGATCAACACATTACATTAGAGTCTTTATTACACAGCCAACACGCTATAGGCCGTGTAAGAGTGTGTATTTCTGGCAAAACAAAATGAAATTATGCTAGTTTCAGGTCTCTGTATTCTAGTTTTGTGTCAACAGCAGTTTCATTTCAATAAATTAGTAGCATCCCTTCAAAACCACCACACTTGGACTCCCAACAGCTGCAACTATCAACAAACCCCCAAATTTAAATGTTTATACTACAGAAGGGAGAATTAGGAGGTTTATGCATTTCACTACCTCAGCTTATAGCAAGGCTTTGGCAGTAGCTTAGCTAGTTATCACAATGCTTCTAGCCAAAGTATCAATACAAAGAACTCCCAAACTCCTGCATTAATTTCAGTTGAGCAAAGTGGCAAAAATCTGATTGCAAATAGATTTTATTATTAAATAAGATTTAAATAATTCTATTTAGGCTCTTTTGAACATAAAGTAAAAAGTTTGCCTTTGTTTTGTAATAGATTATAAACGTCTTGGGTTACCTTTTATAACATTTAGGTAAGCATGATAATAATAGATCTAACTCCAATTAGAAAACTAAACCTGAGGAAAACAAAAATGTCTGGATAAACAGCTAACACGTGCTCCCACTGGTTTGATGCCAGTTCTGCAATTAACAGTTCAGACTGGGCTTAGGTCTGGCATCAAACTATATTCTCAAGTAGGCAGCTGTTTCAAGAAAGGAGCCAAAACTGTTTCTATGTCAAAAACATAATGATAGAAAAATCAGCATAGCCTGCCAGCTGGCACATCTTTCACAGAATCATAAAGTGTCCAGCAGAACAAGTGAATGGAATTATTTTTAAAAGCTGATAATTAAGTTTCAACAATATTGCCAGTTTCTTTCTCAAAAGTCTGTAAATATTTCCCATGGGTGAATGATTATCTCTTTTACTCTGATTATTTTATGTCTTCTAAACAGGCAAATCACCATGACAGCAGCTCTTTTTCTCACAAGCAAGACATCCTTTTCAGCAGACTATTGAAAGTTCCCATTTAAAGTGTAGATTGAAAAAAATTAAACAGCGAAGAAGTTTAGTAACTTCAACAGGCAACACTATTGTCAATACATTGCTTGTAATTGTAACAACACACTGTTTGAAGGCAGTCTTAAAGTTTAATGGGTTTACGCTTCAAAAAAGTTTCAGCAGCACTGTAGTATGTGAAGTATCAAATTTCTTATCTCTTAAACATGTCTAGAAAACACATCATCACTGTATTTAAAATTGCAGTCAGCCAAATTACTGAATTCATTAAGCAGTTTGATACTGCAGGTAGAACAAATGCAATATAGGGAAATAAAGTACCATGGTTTTGGATTTAAAATATTTGTAGATTGTATCACAAGTTCTCCTGTTAATCCAATACCATAAAGCTTGAAGGAGTCTCACTGTGCCTTCAAAAAACCAGAATCTTATATAACCTCATTTTATTACAACTAAATTAATCTTACTACTTTCCTTTTTAGTTCAGCAGAACCACCATGTCAAAATGATCAGCCTGATACCTCTTCTTTGTGGTTTAATTCTACATTTGAACTGCTGCATGGATGTAAGGTATTAACTTTTTTCCATTTAGCAAATACTGAAGCTCCACCTCTCCAAAGTGCTGCTATCAGTGCCTCATTTTCAGAGCATATGACTATTTGTGAATGAAAATAATATAATTTATATGCACTTTTACTTAAGGCCCTGTTGAAGAAATGCTTCTTGACTCTCTTAAGCCTTTCACTCTAACAGCTGGCTCAGATATGAGCTCAGGGAATGGCAGTAACTTCTTTCTCCTCCCCCAGTACCTGTTGTTTGCTATCCTTATTTGGAAGGATTTAGTAACAGCCATTTTTCCGTAGCTTGACCAAAAAGTCGTGATCCATTTTCCTTCATTCTAAAAAAATCAAGGAAATAAGATGTCATCTGGCTTGAGCTGTGTTTGCTCTGGCACACATTGCACTCCTCCCATCTCTGAGGTCCAAATTAAAATTTGTTATACCAGTATTGGTAGTTTCTGCAGGCAGTGGTTAACTTGACCTTTTAATCCAGCTAGGTTTCTCCTCTAAAGGACTAAAATCATGGACTGTAGGAAGGATTGACTTCAATCATTGGATTATGAGGAATTAACATGAATCATTGCCATTCCAAATTACCATTGTTCTGATGCATGTAACAGACTGCAAAAAACCCCAACAAACAAACCCCTGCAGATGTCACAAGAGCCTCTTTACCGTAGAAGGACAGTCTGGGCAATGGCTGCCTTGTCCCAGAGGACTACATCTGGTCGCTGAAAGTACAGTCACTACCACCTGTGCTGCTGCCTCTCCAAGGCAAAGGCAAGTGTCCAGCAATGCCCGAGCACGCGCAGTCACCGTGGGGTAAGAGGTAATTGTTTCATAGTCCATTCGGGACAACGTTTTCTGTGACCGAAGGACATCAAGGATATGGTTGAGGCGTCCTTCTGTCATGCAGCTCAGTATGGTCTGTCTCCGGCAGGCAAGTATTTGACAGCAGTTTCCTTTGCAGCAAGAGTCTGGAGCAAAAAGGAAACAAAATGAGATAAACTAAGTGCTCTTTTCCAGAAGTTGTTAGCAAGTCATAGCATCAAGGTCAGAAATATAAACTCAGTAGAAGAAAGGAGGAGGAGGAATTAGTTTATTTACATTCTAGTTTATTATAGTTTATTTACATTAGTTTATTTACATTCTTTCTTCTTTGTATTTTCATCCTTTGTTTGAAGCTCATGCAGATCAGATTACAGAAAACAAGTGTTTCTAAAGATTATTAAGACTCAGATTGTGTAAGGGGAGGAGGTTTACAGGGCTTGTGCTATTCATCTAGCATCTGTATCAAAGTTTATGCAAAGGGGCTTGGCTTGACATCTGTGATAAAAAAACTGTCCTGTAGAAAGAGTGGAAGAACAGGTAACAGGGAGTTCAGGGTAGGAAGACTGTTTGAAATACGTAGCGTGAAACTGGGTCCTTGAATATATGTCAAAGCCAAACTAGTAACAAAAATGAAACTGTTTGGGTTCTGTCTTTTTTTCACAAACTGGTTAGAATACTTTGTACTGACACAGGTGGTTTTAGGGTACAGTAAATACCTTATGCCAAGAGAAAATCAATAACCTAGTTTGGAGAAGTTATTGTACTAAATACTTGAAAATATGCAGAAAATGTAGAGATATCTGTGTCCTCCAAAACTTTAAACAATTCAGTGACTGAGATCTGGCCAAGGAGAATATTGCCACCTCAGTCTGGAAATGGTGTCTTACCTGTCACTGCTTGTTCAAGAGGCGTAGGCTGTGGTCTGTGCTTGAGAGCTGGCAGTGCATCGTTATGCTGACTGCTTTCTCTGCCTGCAGTTGGATCAGGTAAAGGAATCGTGCAAAAGGAGTTTGATTTTCTCCTCTCAGAGCCTAGGTGATCTAGAAGTTTAAGATGAGTGAGATGAGACCCTTGAATTGAACAACAGGACAGTATACATATGTCAGCCACTGCAGAAGACTGGAACTGAACTGAAGACTAACTTGAGAGCACTTAGTTATTACTAGCTCTTCTTCGAGCCCTTGTTAATACACCATTATTCCGAGGAAAATTTTAGCATATGTTACTACACACATCTGACTTTTTCAAACTGTCTGCAGGAATATGTTTCTGAAGAACATTCTGTTCTGTCTGTAAGTCTGATGGCTATTGATCAGAACTAAAATGCGTGGAAATGTAGATGTTGCTATAAGTGAACGAATTGGCTCAACTTTGGTATCCAAAGATATGAGTACAGAAGAAGCTTTTAAGGAAATGTATCTCATCTTGACACAAATTTAAGCACTTTGATAAATCCAAAGATATGAGTACAGAAGAAGCTTTTAGGGAAATGTATCTCGTCGACACAAATTTAAGCACTTTGATAGGACAAATCCACATTGGAAAGGCAAAGGAAGTTACTTATATAGCAATCCCAATTACCAGGAATGATTCACATGTTTCTATTAACAGTCTTTGCAAAACATATCTCCTGTCCTTATTAGCAAATTTCAAAAAAAAGCAGTTATTCCTGGTGGGGCAAGGCAGTGTGGAACTTGTTCCCCAGCAGGGACTTGTTCGGTCAAAATAAACAGGCCATAATTAATGTGTGAGGAAAAGGCAGCTATACATTACAGGTTACTGTTCTAAAAAAATATAGCAAAGAAGGCTCTTTGATCTATGCATGTGATCAAGAGGTATTGTGACATCTCTGGTTTTCTGCAGTGAACTCATGCTTCAGTTGATACCAGTAGAGAGCACAGCTGTGCTCTGGGAAGGGACAATTTTACATGGAAAATAACATTTGCATATGGAACAACTGATAATATTTATCCTTTTCTCAGAATAGCTGGAGCTGAATATGTTTCAAGGTAGAGACCTTTCATTATTGTTGGGTTCTGTGGGACAGTATTCGACAGACCCGCCTCAAGAATATTTTCTCTTCCGGCATTATTCTCGCTGCTGTTGAGTAGAGTAGCTGACAAGCTTGGCACTGCAAAAGGAATTTTCTTGCTGATTGAGTGGTTGGGCTTTTGTGGACAGATGACCTGAAAAAGATCAAAACAGAGCAGAATTATGTTCTTGGAAACTTTTCTTCCAAATTTTTTATCTGAGCAGTTTTTTCTTGGAATATAAGGCAGCAGTATCTCAGTGCAGGGCGGGGTGAGTACGCAGCTGTTGAGCCTACAGCCTCACTTAACTCAGCTTTAGCTGGTTACCTCAGGTCACCGTGGCAGCACAGAGCCACAGGCTCACTGCTAAGGTTACTGCAGTCCTGCCCTGCTTCTGCAGCCGGGCTGCCAGCAGCCATGGAGGCACTAGCACCGGAGCAGTTTAAAGCTAGGTCCGATCCGGGCACGTGAGCTTCAGTTCTGTCTCTGTTACCTTTCAGTATTGGCAGCCCTGCCATGAGCGCCCAAATCACTTTGTGATAACTTCAGAATACAGTTATCTCTCATGTTCGAAGTGATTGTTCTAAGAAAACTACTTGAAAATGCTGGCCTTCAGCCTAGGATGTCTCTTCCAGGTTAGATTTTTTTGCAATTTCATTAGGATCTCTTCAAGAAGAAGAGGTTCAAAGCAACTTGGAAGTGGAGGAGGTTGTGTTTTCAAGAGCACGTCAAGTGCTTGGAAGAAGATAAAACAGTGGGTTTTGTTGCTTAACTGTTTGGAGTTATCCTGGTTAGGGACATTTTGTCCCATGATGTTTCTATTATACCTTATCAGGGCTGGCACGAGAAACAAGCAGCTTATGAAACACTCTTGTAAGGCTCTCGTGTCAGGTACTTACTTCTGAGTTGCATATGCCCATCTGCAACATGTATGTTTGTGAACCTTTGCATGCATTAAGTGCTGTCTCCTGAAAAAAAAAAAGTGGCACAGTAAGTACGCGTGTGGTTCGTTCAATTCGCAGTTGTCAGGAGCAGGAATTTATGTGGACGCTAACAATTTATACTAAGGTACGCTGATACATAGTAGCACTGAATTGCACAAAGCAGTTTTGCTTTTCACCACGTGTAGGTGGGCATAGAATCTGACACAACTCTACCTTGTTACTGTTTATGCTGTTTTAAATTTATTTTTAAACCTAGTTTTGAATCATGCAGGGAAAGGTGAAAATAGTACTATCCATAGAGAGAGAGAGGGACTGGGCAAGCTGTAACATGTTTTCCTTTAAGTATCCAAACAGCAGGTCCGTCCTGTGTTTAGTATGCCGAACTGTCTGCAGTAAAGATCTGTCAATACTTGTAAGTTTTTTTCCATTTTGTATATCTGTGGCAGATTTGTTAAACTATTTTTAGTCTATATTCTCCAACACTTAAGAATCAGTCCATTTTCAACAATCTCCAGTAGCATCTTCAGTTATTTTGGACATACCAGTTTAGTTGTTTGAACAATAAATAGTGTTCTGTAATTTAGCAAATAGAAAAATGAAACCTTGCTCAAGGGGGATGGAAGTGTTGGATTTTGGAATATTTAGCAGTACAATCCTAAACAAACTTCAACAGTCATAAAAATGACTTGGACTATAACAGTACCACCTATTAAAATATTTTTTAATCAAGTCTCCTCTATAAAATCTGATTGCAACATGTAGAAATAATGTAGCGTGCATTAATGTAAACAACTTGCATAAGCACGGCAATGAAACAGACAACCCAGCATAGCTTGTAAATCCAGATGGAGTCAGAATACTTGTTCAAGGGCTGAAGCATGTGTCTCTGGTTTGCCCACTATGACTCTCTAAGTGAACTAGATAGGACAGAGCTGTATTTGTGGCAGTCGGATTTGTGCCAGGTTTCCCACAGCAGTGTAGACATATATGGAGTTAGCTGTATCCCTCAGTTGCTGGCAGTTCCCCATCCATTCCTGTGGTGTCAGAGAACACAAGCTGTGTCTTGCTAGTATCTTGCTGATACTACAGGTATAAACACTGTCCAGGTTTTGGACTAAATGTCTTCTAACTGGTACATACAACAAAAATTGTCCTTGGTTCTAGCCCTAATCTGATCTACTTGTGGCTGATATTTGTTCTCACTCACGTGCTTACCAGTCTGGCTATAGTTAGAGGCCAAAAACGAGCTATCATGTTTCTGTAATTGCAGGTAGCAATTGACATAGTTTTTAAGAGAACCTCATGATATCTAATTTCTGCAATTCCTGCATGAACCTGAAATGCCAAAGAGGACTCTCCAGCTCTCTGGCATGTCCAATAAACAGTGCAGACACAGCCTTCCCTGAGTTTGAACCACAAAGACTGCAGTTGAAAGAATCAAGTATTGTCATCGTAGTTTTGCACTAACCTTTGCATCCATCAGATTGTAGATTGCAGTGGAAATTGCCTCCTTATTTATACTAGTCAAAATTCCATTTAGAAGGTCTACACATCCTGCAGGGGTAATAAAGCATTTTAAGTACCACATTGCCTATATATATTTAGGCATCAGCATATTGCAACTAACATTACTGTTATGTTGAGTAGCTGGATGAAGTACGTTAAATCAGTTTAATACAACTTCCACCTCATACCTCCTCTTGGTTTTCTTTTTGAACTGCTTTTAAATAATGGTTACAGTAACATTAAAATCACATTTTCTTACATGTTCATACAGCTGGAGCGAACTTACTTGCAAAAGGCTTACACGTGACTATATAAGTCTATCACAATAGAGCTATACACGCATTGCTTCCTCAGCGCTTCAGCTTTGAAAATTTGCTCAAAAGTCCTCAAAAATCACAATTTTAGTATTTCTTGGCTGTCTTTTTAGAAACAGATGATAAACATAGCAATTCCACTAAAGTAATAACTAATAAAAGATGACCCACTTCATTGGGAACAGGTTATGCATTGGAATCAAGAAAAGCTGTAGGGAGATTGAAGTTTGTCACACGAGTGTGTATAGCTGATAATACCTTTTCCTTTGTTTGTACTTATTTTTACTCTATACTAAACACAATTTTGGAGGTAAGTTAGCTGTTTCTGGTAGGAAACTTCCGTTAGAAAAACCATCTACAGTTTGATGTCTGATGATCTGTGGACTAATTCCACTTCAGCTGTCACTGATTTACTAGAGCGATCTTCCCAGCAAGACTATCTCCATTACACATCTTGGCAAGAAAGCAAATCCTGAGGGTTACCTGCAGTACGTGGTCTATAATCTGGTTCATGATGCCAGCACAGAGCAATAAGGCGCAACAGTCTATTCCTCTCAGGCAAATGGCTTGGTATGAACTTTTCTGAAAGGCCAGGCCGCAAACTGCTGCAGATTACCGTCAAAACTTCCAGCAGGGTTGTTTGACCTGCAATTTATAGGAAAATGTCACTGGAAAAAAATACTAATGACTTCAGAACTCTCTTAAAATGATAACCAGAATAAGTTATTTTGTGTATTTTAAAACAAAGACTGCTTTTTTAAAAGCAAAAATAGATTAACACTCTTGTAAACAGATATGCTAGCCTTTAGCAATAGCTGTAGCTGCTTTCTGCGACAGGACATTTCAGGATAAAGGACTCTGTTCAAATAATGTCAGAAATGGGTATGTAAATATTGTAAACTACATGCACAGATACCTCAGGAATACCTGTAATTGTTGTGGTTATATTCTAAGCACGTGGTTTTATGTAAAGCCTTACACCTGCACTACAAGAATGTAACTTCTATTGTACAAAAAAAGAATCTACTTTGGGCAGCCACGAGATGGCAGCCCTAAGTTGTATGAACGGTAAGATACTATTCTATGCAGTATTTCTGAGAGGTCTGTAAAATTTCTAAAAGGCCCGTAAAATACAGGAGTCCTTCAGTCAGTTTTGCCATGCTGAATAGAGCCCGTAGTAGAGAAGTCTTTCATTGATGCCCACCTCTGTCAACAGGGATCATTCCTACAATGATTCTACAATACTTTGCAAACTAAGTTCTTCAAAATTGCTCACGCTTTCATTTTAAAAAATAAGATACCCTGCTTATTAAAGAGAATTCAGCATGAACTTGCATTACTTGATTGGGATTTGAAACTCAAGGCAACTTTAAAAAATGAGCATTTTGCTCATGCAGCCTGTCACTAAAACATTCCCTGATTTTAAAATGGCATTCTTTCTCACTGAGGTAAGCAGAAAGCCCAACTCTGTAGTAACAGAGTTCTTCAGCAAGCACAGGGAGATGATACAAGCTGGGTGAGAAGCTATGCCTTTCCTCTTCAGAAAGATCGGCTTCTTTGGAAACACTCCTGTAATGTGGAGCTTTGTGCTGTAACAGTAATAGAAGGCAAAGAGACGTCTGAAAAGGCAGCGCTGTTTGTATTATAATTTCCCCGCAATAAGGAAATGTGTGGAAAAGATGAGGGCAACTCGAAGTCTGACATGAACAAGAGAGATAAATACCTTCAAAAGGTTTCCGTCTGCTTAGGGTCTCCCAACACAGTATTCCAAAACTGGAAAAAACCCAGACAACCCCCCCCCAAAACCCACCAGTCATTAATTTGCAATCAGTATCTCTGTTCTCATTTCCAAGAGCAAAAGTCCGCCCTAATTTGATGAGATCCTTTTTCTTGCATTATTAACTTCCATTTTTTACCTGAGCTGTTTATATAAAATGGTAAATCAGAATTAATTTTTTAAACATAGGATCAGTTTTAATTACATTTCAAATTACCACCTTACTTCCATTTGCTTTTGTGAATTTCAGAACCTTCTGTTCTCTTTTATAATTTTTGTTTTGTTTTCAAGTAATTTAGATAGCAACTGCAAGAGATGAACTTTCAAACAGGTACTAAGAAGCAATCAGCTAACCTACCAAAAACTTGGTTCTGAACCACTGGCACATCTATTTTCTTCAGCAATTTTTGATGGGGCTGCAAATACCTTTTTCCTTTTCTAACATCCAAGGAATTATTCCAGTGATAGCATAGATCTACAGATATAACCCACAACTTGGATGGTATAAAATGCAGTTGTTTGATGAAAAGCTCAATCTGCAAAAGCCGAAGCAGAAGCGAGGAGGCTGCTGGAAGAGAGAAAGCAGGTTACGGGTGAGTCAGAAGCAAAGCAGTCAAAGGGGAAAGCAGCAGTTCTAGGATAAACGAATCTGCTTACTCATACATCTTGCTGTAGTGCTGAATTACAGTGTTTAAAAGAAGCCCCTCTTCTGCCTTATTTCCATATAAAAGCTGAAAATGCCTTTACTTACATAACCTATGGGAAAGTATTAATGTAATGTGGACGTTGATGTAACTGATGCGTACTTAATATTTCATATTTGACAGATACTATTGTTTTCTCTGTTGCACCACTGTCTAGACAGGCACCTGTCACATCTGAGCATCTAAAATTCTGTAAGAATGACATGCTGGAAAATGAATTATGCTATCTGAACGTAAGCCTCCACTCTTCCTGTGCAGAAATCTTGAGTTTACGAGCAACATCAGATTAGTCATATCATTTATAGATCTCCTCAAGTGTATGCATTATTTGACTCATCTCAGTGCCTGCCCCTGTGAAAATAAATCAGGAGTTTAAATTCGTTGCTTTCATAAAAGCTCTGAAAGCAGAAGAGTGGTCATGCTTGAAAATTATTTATAATGTTAGTCCACAGTCTCTGCATGTCAGTTGTAAAGATGTATGTCCATACAGACAAGAGTTGCAATTTGAGATTGTCTCATTTATTGAGGCAACCACCAAGCATATAGCATATCCAGAAGGGACATGTGGCGGTAGGTGATCTTCCTCCTTTGTATAAATCACTTTAATAAAAAATGTGAATGCTTGAGTGGCTCAGTAAGTTATTCCAGCAGAGGCCCAGGTAAACAGTTTTTCCTGAAACTAAAGCCAACAACAGTTCGTGCTTAGAAAGGATATGAAGTAGTTATTAGGTTTCTAAATGTACGTGAAAGTTTTGGCAGCTATGTTACACTTTTTAAACATTTAGGTCCATTATATAAATATCTATATGACAAACTTTGAGAGCAGTTCTTAACCTTGATGTGTTATTCACCAAATATGAGGAATTTCAAATTTAATTCACTGCTGTAATTGGCCTCATGTGGAATACTATCCTACTGCATTATGTAGACCTGGCATTTATGTCCTAGTGCCTTTGAAAATAAATATTTCAGCACCACTGCAAAATGTTGCAAGCACTAGGTATGACCTGCCCTTAGAAATCCCATTCACCTGTAAATATCACCTTCCTGGGAAGGAAGGCCTCCTTCAAGTATTTCAGGAGGGAGATACACCAAATCCCGCCAGTTCCTCCGGTTGCAGTTTTGTAGCTCTGACCTCAGGTGCTGTTTCCTCCAGTTGTTTAGACCATAATCTGATATCTACAGAGATGGGAGAAAAAAGTAACTTTCAGTAATAATACCTCAAGTCTTCGTTTAAAATGTTGATTATTAGGATAAATATATGCAACAATAGGACAATCCCTGGATTTTACATTAACAGGCTGGCTCTACCTTGGCTCTGTAGTGTGTATCCAAAAGCACATTGGAAGGTTTCAGGCCGCAGTGGCAGAAAGCAGGTCCGAGGCTGTGAAGGTGATGCAGCCCTTCAGCCACATCTGACAGGATCCTTATGAGCAGGGGAAACGGAAGTTCTGGGTACAGCTGACGCTAAGTAGCACAAAATACAGGTTTTGGTAGCATGGAATTGTTACTATTCACATCTTAATCTGACAATAAGCAGAAGTAAAATACAGAAGTTAAAGAACAGATTGACTGTGACTACCGTCTGTAACTTACAAACTGATTGTTCTCTGTCGGCTGACCTTGTAATTAATTTTGTCACATAAAAGGTGACTTCCTTTATGTACCTCATGGATGAGCGAGTGCAGAGATCCATTGTTCATCCATTCAGTCACTATCCCCACAAGTCCATTGTACTGGTAAATGCCAAGAGAAGGCAGGAGACGTTCAGACTCAGAGCACCTGAGAGTTGCTAGATCCTGAAGTAGCAACTTCCATTCCCTGTAAAAAACCAAAAAGGGTTAGAGGCAGGGTAGACTGAAGGGAATTCCAGTGTAGGGTATGGAAATGAGAGATAACCATATGGTTGAACAACAATTCTAAGAAAATGAAGCAATCCCCTGTGTAGTGTATTTTTCTAATATAATGTGAAAGACCTTTGGATGCTGTAATGGGAACATAAGATCACAGCTTAAAGCAGAACTGAAGTGCAATGGCAAGAGAAAGCTGAATTATACAAAATGCTAGATTAAGAAAAATAATTTTTTCCCCTTACTGTTCCCAAGAACTCGAATTGTATCCTTTTGCTATTAACAAGATCCACATTTACAAGAAAATTATTATCTTCCATGTTTATCCAATGGAACTATGTTATATAAATCATATATAATATAGCATGTCATAGTGTGATATAAGAGTGCAGCCAAATTCAGATTTGATGTAACTGGTACAAGTCTAGTGACGCTGATAAATTTGATTCAAGTTCAACTGCAGTTGAGTTGTAGACCTGCATTCAAATAGTGTTTATTTACAGAGAATAACAGTCTTTGCTTTGGTCATCATCAGAAGAATAAAGTTTTGTTACCTAAGGACTTAAGTGCACAGGAAACACTGAACTATCAGTTCAGTTGTGCATTTCAATAACTGAACTTCCACTATAGGTTCAATTTTTGTTAATTGTATGTTTGCTTTGAAAGCTCTGATTACTCTGTGGTACTTGTGAGCTGAGAATTCATTTACATTATTTCAAAATTCAGTTGATTTCAACAGATTTGGAGCTCATTCTCATTTTTCTAACCAGCAACCAGCTTTTACATTGAGACTTCAGTTACAGTTTCTCCTATTTACTGTGTTGATTCACAAGCCTGTGAGGTAATTCCTGGAAGTAATTCACAGGCTCACCTGTTTCAACACTTATTTCCACATGTAATCAACACATAGTTAAATGCTTTGCAGCCAAATAAAACACAGTTTATTCTCCCAGCTTTCCTAAACTCTGTCTAGTGTAAACAATAGATCAGAACGGTAGAGACAGAAAAGCAAGAGTAGCTTTAGTTTTAGGGAGGCAAGGGAACAAGTTTGAGTGAAAAGATGCCAGATCAGGACAGCACGTTAAAGCAAAGTAAAACGGTGGTTTCTGTAACTTTAACTACATCATTTGGGAGTTCATTTGTTTGTTTGATTTAATGAAGATGTGGACAGGAGTCAGAGGAAACTTTTTTCTTTAAACAAGCTACCAAAGAAATAACTCTGTTCAGATTACAAAATTGCTGGACTTCTATTGTTTAAAAACAAGCAATCCCTCCCACCAGCCACAAAAGAAACCCCCAACCCTGGAGAATTTCAACTGTTTGAAAATTCTGGCATCATTTAGGTTTTGAAGTATCACTGACAATTTAAATCATCAATTTAAAAATATTTATTGGAAATACTGTTTTTTCCTCCTCTGCCTTTATAATGGAACAAACTAAACACTCCATTCAAGTGGGATGGTTTTGTATTTTACTTTTAACAAAAGCCACCTGAATGGCAGCGTTCTCAGTTAACAAGAGTAACTAGTCTGTAAATGCAAGTCAGACACTCCTTTTTTGATAAACAGTCAGGGTGGTGCACTTCTTAAGCTGCTTTCCTCCTGCTTCATCAGAAGTAGCTTGTGGTTATTTTGAGAACTGTCTGTGGTTTTGTTGCACAGTGGAATTTTGTGGTCAGTAGGCTGACACCCATCAGTTACTGCTGTGTTTATAATTAGGACACGTACACATCCCAGTTCCCTGTAACCCTGGGCATTAACCCTCCCTTTTCCTATCTCTCGTCTCGCTCATCTCTGTACATACCATTTTGGACTAAATTCAACCGAGATCTGTTCAGGGATCTGCAGAAAAATGTAATACCATAGCATGCTGAGTATTACTGATCAGGGTTTGTAGATATTACTATAGCAGGGATAATTAACAACTTCAGGATTAACTCTATCTTCATAAAAATGTGTAAAAATCCCCAAACCTACATAGAGCTTGTTTCTAAGTGTTGCTGCCTCCAAGCTGCTTCTTGGCTAGTCAGGATTTCTGGGACTGGAGATGAGTTTAGGGATCAGATGATTCTGGGAGTGCCACGCTGGTGTCATGGCTGCAAGTTTGTCCTGCCCGGCTGCAGGGGTTAATAGCCAGATTGGACACGTACCTCTCTGTCGTGTCCTGGCTGGTCAGCAGCTTCACAGAGATGTGAGTGTTCCAAGAAACGTGAAAGGCTTTGAGTGCAAAGCCTGCGCCTGTCCTGGTCAAGGTGAAGCTATCCAAATCTTCTTGGGCTACTACAGGCAATGATTGGGCCATTTCTTGGTGACTGGCTTAGGTGAAAAAAAAGCAGAAAAAAATGGTCAAGGACTACTTTTTGTAACTACTACCACAGCACAGTGAAGTTGTACCAACCCTTACCTGCCATGTAACTATTACTCTATTCCAGCAGGTTTCCTTTTACCACTCTGTGTCAGACTTTCCTTGTAAAGGAAACCCACACTAATTGCAAAGGAGTGTCTGGACCATAACTTGCTGTCTGAGGCTGCAAGGTGCTAATTAATTGCTCATTATTTCCATTTGAGGACTTAGAAATGTTGGGCCATTATTTATCATATAAAGTGTGATTTTAAAGTGATACTGAAATTAGGCTGACGACAAACTAGTATCTTACAGTTACATGCTACACAAATATAGTTCTTCTCATAAAAAAGGCAATTATTCAGTGACTCATGTCAGTGTGTTGTGCATCATTCTTGCACATCTTCTTCAACGCATTACGTGTGAATGCAACAGCAAGGTGAAAGGCAAATTTCCTGCTGCTGTAAGCTGGCAGAACTCTGTTGTGTCTTTACAGCAGCCACTGATTTGGCCAATACTCTTTCTCTACAGCACCTCTCTAGGGCCACCTGGGTGTCTTGGACACATTGCACGGCAACGCACATGGATTAGAGAGAACCTCTGCAAAGCGTCGTTGTGTTGCTGCATGAGTAACGTTTTTAATTACATCTGTGAAGCTACATTAGACAAGAGATAATAAAAAGTCAGTGGTGAAAGAAGAAAACACACAAGCTAAGAAAACATCCGGGATAAAACCATTGGTAAGGATTACTACAAGATCAGTGGTCAGTGAATCAGAAGAACTCAAACTGGAATACTCCCTTCAGGGTCCAGTAGACCAGGGCTAGAAAAGGAAACCCATGAGGGAACTGAAATAACAGGGCCAAAAATTTGAAGTAACCAGTAAGGACAGTTGAGTTTGAATTGTGTCCTTCTAGAAGATGGGCTTTGCAAAAAAGAGCTTGTGGGATGCAGAAGGCCTGCAAGTCAGACTTTGAGCAGATCACTCGTTCTCCGTGAATATAATAGAAATGAAAACCTGAGCATTAATTAGCCTATACTCATGGCTAAACTGCTTCTAGTTCATGATGAATTTATTTTCAGTTAATGTCAGTATCTCAGCTGTGCCATGCAGGGACAGAGGGCTACTAAGCTCAGTTTTACATCTGAACGCAATCAAAATGCAAAGAAAAATCAAGCAGCTGATTTACTAGTTCATCTTTGACAGTGTTTGATTCTGGCAGGAAAACACAGTTGAACTTTTGCTACTGTAGCTTGAAAGCAATAGCTGTCTTTGGGGCTTCACTTAGTTTCCTTAAAGAATAAATCCAGCATGGTATGAGGTTGACTTTAACTACATAAATGGCTAATTTGTAAAATTGTGAAGATGGACTACACAGATCTACCAATCCTAAATAAAAAGGAGGTAATCAAAAGGCTAGCAGGAGGAAAATTATGTCTCATATTTATTATATACTACAATAAATAATCATTGAAATAGCCAAAAGCATTTACTCAAGTCCAGACATAGTACAAGGAAGATCAAACAATTAATACAGGATCTAAACCCTTCAAATATCTATTTTAATTTAAAATTGAATCAATTAAAGCTGCAACAGTTTTTTAAGCTCTTACTAACTGGCTAATTAGATTTTTTTTAAAAAAAAAAGCAGCCATCAGCTCCTGTTTTGGATTTGCAAAACCTGATTTAAGTAGATGAATTGAAAAACACTGCAGTCTTTCTCTGTGGAAAACCATGACACGCCAAGCACCATTGTCCCCATGTCTGAGTGTGTACACCTGTTTCCACACCTCAAATTAGAGTGATTTGCTGATAATCTCGAAAAGAGTTTAACCCTAAAATGAGAAATCTTTTCTTTATCCAGGGTGCTACCCGGATTCCCAAAGCAGTTGGAACATTAACATGGAATACAGGACTACCCTGGAATTACAGGTAACAACATCTCTCTCTCACTCTCAGATTACAAGTTTGGTACCAAAGCCATTTTTTCAATAGTTCAGCTCTTTTGAATGATTTTTTTTTTTCCTAGACCCTTATAAAGCCTCACTAGCAAACCACAAGCTAAATATTTCTTAGGTAACCTTAGCAATGAAAGGTTTTCTATTATTAACTAAACGTTTCCGACAACTTTGTCATCCTCCCCTAGTTGGGCAGGAGCGAGACTGCTATAAAGCCATTTATTTCAAGTTTGTAATTTCAAAGGTAATTTAAAAAGAGTACTTAATAGCAAAGATGTTTTCCTTTGTACGAGAAAAACTCTACATTAATACATTTCTCAGTAAAGGAAATTGGAAACAAAACCAACTTACCTCTGGAAATACGGGCATAAAAACTATGGAACTACAGAATGAAACTACTGCAGATACCAAGCTGGAGTCAGTTTTGAACTGCGTTCAAACACAGCTCAGTTTTCCTGTGTGAGTCAGCTGCCTTGTTGATCTCTCTTTTTATTGGCTGTCTGCAAACATTGAAAATTTCCTGGTCAGATATACAAGCTGTAACTCTTTAGTGACTGCAGCCGGGTTTTCACATTCTGGCTTCTTAGTTCCCTGTTACAGAAAAATTACAGAAAAACAGTTTGGATAGTTACTTTTTTTCACAATGAGGAATGCCAACAGGGAAAACTGTAACAGTGAAAAACACTCTACTGGATACAGCCCAGATATGGAAGCATGTAGAGCTGCTTGCAGATTGTGCAGCTTGTGCCCACCTCCGTAGTAAATCAAGCCAACAGCACAAGTACAAAATCCCTTTAAACGTTTTAAGTCGAGTTGATCTTGAAACAGGCTGAAAATTGCTGTGTTTTATTCTGGTTACAAGATAGGTAAGCATAGGGGTAACATGAGGTTGCAAAGAAGTAGTAAGGATCAAATGGCTGACAAGTAACCCTGCTGAAAGGGATGTAGGGGTTATGATGGAAGTTAAGACGATCATGAGCCAGTGGTGTGCTCTCATCACAAGTGGGGAATATTGCATACGTTAGAAATGCAGTCAGCAATGTCTGAGAAGCAATTACGCCTCAAGTACTCGGAAACGGTGATGCAGCACCCGAAATGCCGTACACAACTTCACAGCCCTCAGTTCAAAGACAGTGTTGAGAAACTGGAGGGGATGCTGTAGGCACGACCTCATCCAGGCAGCAAGATAAGTCCATAGAGCACATAACTTAGAGGAAGAGGTTGAGGGACCCAATCTTGTTTAGTCAGGTGAGGGAGGCTGGAGGAGGCTCTGCTAGAAGGCTACAGCTTGAAGGTCAGCTATGAAGACAGAGCCAAATTCTTCTCCATAGTGGCAGAAGACAACCAGTGACATAGGTAGGTGTCTGTCCTTCAGAGGTTCAAGTCAGGTGCTAGAAAAAGGTTTTGCCAAGTGGGTAACGAATTACTGGAATGGGCCTCCTGGGTTGCAGACTCTCCATACGTTAAGGTTTGCTAGACTCAGCTAGGCAAAGCCATGGCTGACCTGGTCCAGCACTGCTGGTAGTCCTGCTTTGAGCAGGAGGCTGGGCTAGAAAAGTGTCAGAAGTCCAGAATATCTTTAATTTTGTGAAAACTATGTAAGGCCTAATTGTGTTCCTGCTAGGTCCCCAGCATAAGGATTCACACTGAAGGTTGATCAGACTGCTGGATGCAGAGTGGAGACTTTAGGAAAAAGCGCTCATTTCAGTTGATCACGCTTATTCAAGCTTTCAGCTCCAGGAAGAGTGTATTTATTTATAGAGTCTGGCTTTAAAAAACAGTATTAGTCAATGAGATTCTGTCCCCAGGCTTCTGTTGGTTTTGGATCAAATCCTGACCTCCTAACAGGGAGGCAACAAGCAGTAAGGCAGTTACCAAATAGCTCCTATGATCTCAGGAAAGTCCCTTGTGTGTAAAAATCATGTGGCTGGGGCTCTGTGGCCTGAGAGGAAGCACAGTACAAGTAGGAAGCGTGGTGTACACTTCATGCACAGGGCGGTATTTCCCGAGAGCTGTGGCTATCTGACCAGCATCAGCTTTCTCTGCCCAGCATACCCCTCCAAAAGTGAAATTAGTATGAGGGAGCTGAAGTAGCAAAGGTAGAACAAGTGTGCTGTAACAGCCCTGGAGAAGGCTGGAAGCATGTCAAGTTGCTGTGGCCACAGGATCCTCCTCCCCTTGGCTTTAATTTGTCAACAATACATTCGTTTATGTCCATAGTCTACACTTCTGTAAAAAGTACATGAAAAAGTATTTCCCCTGTTTAAGGTATTAGTCTGCGAGGCTCAGACTGTACTGCAGCAGAATCACAGCTATTCAGAATCCTTACAGTTAATTAACTTCTTAGGGGGAGCTTTGTAGACGGTTTGAAGGATTTAATTTTGCAGAAATTCTTTGACACTTGAAGTGCTCTTGGATACTTGTGTATTTTTAGAATATCATGTGCTGGGGAAGCAAAGTACTAGAACAATCCTGCACTTGTTTACTTCTTTTGACTACAGTTTTTAGCTTAAAAAACCCTCAGTATAAAACTGTAAAGCTTAATTTTAAACCATATTTGGAGAAAGAAGAAACACACAGGCCAGTTTGTACTGCACGTCTAAACTAATTAAACGTTGTTGTTACTGAACATCTTAATTAAAAAGAATCAGGTAGTGTTTTACCTACACATAATTTATCCAGAGAAATTTAAAACCTCTCACATAATATGAAAGCTTATAAAAAATGAGAAGGAAGAAACCTCTATAAGTTCACATAAGGGCTATCTTGCACAATAACTAGACAGAACTAAGAAAACTTAAGTTTCGTTTAACTGTAAGTTGTTGGGGTTTTTTTGGGGGGAGGGTTGGATGGTTTTTTTATTAATTATGGAAAATACTCAACAAGTTTAGCAAGGAATAAGACAGACATTGATTCTTTCAAACCTCCTATGCGTAAAATTCGTTCGTTGCCATATAGATGCCTAAACACACAGGTACTGGAGAAGTACAGACAAGCCT